GACCATAACATTCAAAGTAGCATGAAACCTAAATTACCTATGAAGATGATTTTTGTAATGGTAAAAAGAATTAAAGCTGAAAGCTCCTTTGGAAAGATCAAAGAAACGAAAAGGTAGCTAGACATACTAAAGATAATAGGAGAGCTATTCTAGGTATATTATCAATTACTTAACCTATCTTTCACTGCATGATACTGCAGCAACTACTTTTTGTATACTTATTAGGTTATAGATATTATAAAACACTATTGATTAACAGTGCCACTCCATTTCTAAGTGCATACATTTGATGCCAGTTAATTTCACAAAAACCACATAGCACTAAGTCTACTTATATTTGTCCACTTTGTCAACTAAAATCAGAAGTATACAGTATACATCAGAAACAATTGGCATCACATCAATTCTTACAGATACTTCATGTGTGTCAGACTAGAACTGTACCTCATACAATTTTAAATGGCTGGTTATTTAGGAAGCAGATCATTGAACTTTTCTTCCAAAGTGTCTGTAGGTGGACTCCAAAGCATGTTATGTAATCATTAATAGCATTAGTCAAGTAATAGCCTTTGAGAACTAGAACCTAAAGATTTTAAGATAGCCTCGGAATCCTTGCAGGTTGCTTGATTAATGCCATTACCATGGAATTCTTGACCCAGAATGCAGATACATTTAACGGACATGTTCAAAATTTTATAAAGGTTTATTCCATTGGGAATATAACTTTGAGATCCAGGAGTCAAACACAGTATCTCATTTTGGCTTAAGAAGTCAAACTGGAGTATTTCTACTATAATTTTTCAACAAGCAGCATTCTAGTGATTCTACCTAATAAGCCATTTGGACAAACCACTGTATTATGAGAAGAATTTGATTAGGCTCCCCCTCCCATTATCATGAACAACAGGGTAGGAATGGTTAAGTTTCTTTCAAGCACATTTTTAGAAACTTAAAAAAAAAATTAAGTACAAAAGTTACTCGTTTAAAGTTACAGCTCTCTCTTTGAAAAGCTACAGTAGTATGGTGCTTAACATGTTGAGTGGCTAACAAAGAGGAGCAGTATGAATCCAGCCACTCCATGTGACAAAGGTGAGATTGTCTTCTCTCATACTGAGCTTTGGAAACCTGGCTGAGGGTCACCATGAGCTGGAATCAATTTGTTAACAGTGGGTTTGGTTTTGTCTTTTCTTCCATTGTTGTTGATTGCCTTCGAGTCGAGCATAACTCAGAGCAACCCTATGAACAAAAGGCCTGAAGCCTTTCTACAACTATTGACATTTATTAAAGTTCATAGAGTTTCTGGAGGCATGTTATTTAGGAAATAGATGCCACTCCTGATTCCATTAGTGTCAGCTAAATTTTTAATTCTAAAAAAAAAAGTATCAGAGGGAGTTCTGGTGGCCTAGTGGCAAGAAGCTGCACGGCAATCTCCTCCTGTGCCAGCTGGATCTGATTCGATGGCACGTGCACACACACAAAAATATCATAAGCATTCATTCATAAAATCATCAAGAGACTTGGGTTGCAAGGATTTTCTGGACACTGGTGGCTGTCAGCTATTTGAAGGCATTTCCCCTCTAAGAAACACTGGAAGTGAGGTTATGTTTTTAATAATTAGGGTTAGGGGACATTAATACTTTAAACTTTTAAAGTCAAGAAGCAATTTCCCCCCCTTGGTTTAAAAAGTCACTTTCTTGATGATACCCTTATGTTAACGCAACACTAGGCAAAAATACAGCTGGCAAAGTCCTACCAACGTAAATAACAGAACTAATTTTTTTTAACCCAGAAAAACCTCTCATTTATCTTTTTTTTTTTAAATTTAGGTTGTTTATTTTTTATTTGATCTCAATTAAGGACTGAGTTAAACAGTCTCTAAATATTGCTATTAACTGACCAATCAAGAATGAATCAGAAGAACAAATAAATTTGTCTTGGAAGAAGTATGACCAGAATGCTTCTTAGGAGAGGATGGTGAGACTTCATCTCATGTACTTAGGACATGTTATCAGGAGGGAACAGTCCCTGAAGGAGGACATCATACTAGATAAAGTACAAAGCCATCAAAAGGCAGAAGACTCAATAAAGATAGACTAATACAACCATGCAACAATGCGCTCAGACATGGTTAAGGACTAGAGGACAGAATAGGATTGGGTATACCATGTTTGACTTTGTCATTGTGCCGTACCTAGTAACAACAATTAAGTTTTCATCTATTTTTCTGGTTATTTAGTATATTTGATGGATCATATTATCAATATTATAAATAATACTGTTTCAGAGGTTTCTATATACCCAGATGAGATTTTGCACAGTTTACTTTCCTAGGGAGCTTTGGTGGCTCAGTGGTAAGGAGTTGCACTGCCAATCAAAAATATGGTTTGAATCCACCAGCTGCTCTGAAGGAGAAAGATGAGCAATCTCCTCCCATGATTTACTGCCTTTGAAAACCTGCTGGAGAGCCAACTACAAGTTGGTTTGACTCGATGGTACCTAACAACAACACTTTGCTAATGGTTTTATGTTTCCTATTTAATTAGGGGGGAAAAATTTACCATGATGTCATAAATCTTCTAAATGATAGTATCATACAAATTCTACAAAAATAGTCCTATATATAGTCATTCACACTTGTGCAAAAGGTAAGTTAGGAAGTTACACTCTGACCAGAATTAATAATAGTCTTAAGTGATAACAGAACACAATTTTATCTTTCCTAGAGTCATCAAAACAAATTCTAAATTGCAAGTATAAATCTTTATAAATACTTCATCAAAGACACCAATTTCAAAGCACTACTTTAAGTACAACAAAAGATACTGGCTACTTAACTATAATATGCCATTTACTGTAAGATGCTTCCAAAAGATCCTCAGATGACAATTTTGTGCTCCTAAATCCTCCCTTTTTTGTCCTTCTAATTCCTTTCTAGGCTAAGACAGACATATGTATCTTCATCTTTTGCAGTTACTGACTATTAACATGAGTTGTAAATTCTATGTGAAATACAAGTATCAAACTGTATTACATTTCTCAAGTCACTGGCCATTAGCCAAGAAGACTGTAAAGAAGGCACTACTAAAAATTATACTACCAAGTTTAACAGCCAAAGAATTTCACCTTTCCTCCTTCTCTTGCAAGTAAAGCGATATTCTGAGGTAGAAAAGTTGAGGAAAAGAATGCATTACTCAACTGAGAACGGGAACTGGTATTTTTGGCTAAATTGGACTTAACCTGTTTAAAATTGTTCTATCTTAAGGACTGTTCTAGCTCTAAAATATTATTACTGAGGGCTGGAATTGTTTGAACATAAAAGGCTATTTTCAAGTAGCTCTCATCAGCATTTGGCTTCAATGGACACACAATAACCAAGTATTACTGCTGCTCCTAGTGTGAGGTTTGATTTTTGTTTGTCCATGTAAATCTTATTCTAGATCCCACAGGAATATAGTTAGTCCCTGTCCTCCACAATGCTCAATTTTCTGAACTCTTGCTCTATGCAGTAAACAGAAAATGTCTATGTAAACAGAAAATTTCTGTTTCCAAGGTAATAGAATTATTTATATTTCTGGCTTTAGACAAAGTAAAGAAACACTATGAAGTACATACATTTCACAGAAGGGAACAAGAAGTCAGGGCAATTGGGTATATGTGGACATGAATTTGGAGTCCATGATGAGATGACATTTTTCTAGTTTTAAACAAAAAACAATATGGGGACATAAAACTATTACATCACGATCTTATGGCCTCATACTCAAGCTTGAATAAAACCTAATGGATTCTCTTGTTCAGCTTTCTAACTAGGTCTGGAAGAGTCAATATGCCAAAAAAGAAAGTTATTTATGTACCATCACCTTAATCATCTACATAAAGTAAAGTACAACTTGTCTTTTTGGTATCACTATAGTATGGTCTTTAAGGAAAGATAGAGCAGAATAGTTTGGCTGCTCACAAATGCATGTCTCATCAAGTTCAATTAAATGGGAAGCAAATATCTTGCTCATCTCCACAGTTGTTTGCTTCTAATCACTTAAATCCAATCAAATCAACTCAGTATAGATCACTTTTAAAAATACAACTTCTTCCTCTAATACTTGTCTTTTACCTTTCAGGCTTCCCTCTGTACAGCCCTTAGGTACTAGAGGCTTGATGCAAATGGATACTATTTTTCTCCAGGTGTCTTTAATACTAAAAGAACTCATTTCAAGAAGCTATAATCAACACTCAGACCAACAAGCATTTCTACTTGCCTGTCAGGATCACAGATCATTAACTCCTCAGAAATCAATCTGCAGAATAAAGCAAGGACAACACTCAGAAGAACTATGCCTTGAGCCTAAATTTAAAATATAAAACAAAAAACCCCTCTAACTTTTAAGAGGTTACCATGTCCTTCCCTAGGAGAACATAATGGTCAAGAAAAAAAATAAAATAGAGTTAAGAAGTCCTCAAATAAGCCATCAAAGTGAGGGGTGGGCGAAATCTTTCGGAGGAAAACCACTCCCAAATTGGTCTCATAGTATAAAAACAATTTTTATCATATCAACCAGCTTGCTTCTATAAAGATTTACAGCCTCATAATCTCTGTGGGCCAGTTCTTACTCTGTCCTATAGGACTGCCATGAGTTGAAAACAACTTGATGGCAGTGGGTTAGGTAAAAAAAATTTATCAACACATGCTTTGATAATTGAACCCAACTCAAACAGCCCCATGAACTGATATTTTTTTCAACTTGTTCAATACCACAGGAGTTGCTTAAATTATTTTCTTTTTTTTAAAAAAAATATTTTCTTATATAAATCCAATACAACAAACTCCAAGAATTTAGAGCATAAAAGGACAAGGGAGACTCCCAAAATAGCCATAGTGTATAAAGATTACCCGGCCATTTCATTCTTTGAGTAGGTGGAGGAAATGAGACTACTCACTTTGTAGCTAAGCAAAGAAAAAGACAATCTAATTAATACTTTACTTGTCTGATTTTTACCTTTACCTGAAGTTCTCCCGGGAGAAACAGAAACACGACTTTTTCTGGTCCGGTTTGACTGCTGGGGTGTTGGAGAATGACGACTTTTTGGTGGTGGAGTTGCTGGAGGTGATGGTCGGTGCCGTCGCCTTGGAGGACTTGCTGAAGGAGATAATCTCCGAGTTTTTCGAGGGGGACTAGATGTCCTCTTGGGTGGCTTCTTTGGTGGTGACCGGGAACGAGACGAAGAGGATGATGAGCTACTCCCAGACAAGGATGCTGATGAGCGCCTTCTTCTGTGAATGAAAGTATTCATATTCACTAACTGTATGCTCATAAAAAAAAAATAATTTTAGTTATGTACAGTTTACACAAAAATACAGCTATTTTTATCCAACTTTTGAGTTTATGTAGCTAAGAACATGAGTCCCCCCCAAAACAAAAACAAAACCTAAGATAAACAGCTAGTTCTGAAACTAAATGAAATCTTATTTAAAAAATGCTTATGTTTAACTTTTCCCCAGTCATAAAACATGTAATGTTGAGCAAGATATCACCAATTGGATTTTCTTCCTGATATGAACAATATCAGTGTTTTGGAGTTTGCACAAAATTTGGGTGTTGTTTTCTTTTAATAATACACAATGTCAAACAACCTTTAAGTTGCATTAAAAGGGGGAAAAAAAGATGTGCAAGATTAGGAATTCAATTAGCTACATAAACTTAGAAGCAGGGGACTCTCGAATTCTGCAGCAAAATTTTGTGTTAAGTTCTGTTGCAATTATGTGTACCTGCAGAATTCACCTTTGGCAGAAGAATTCCTGAGAACCTGAAAAAAAGAAACCCTACCTTAAATGTAAGATAAAGACTGGCTGAAAGGGAATCTTACACAATCTGTAAAATATTTTTGACTGCGAGATGGCTTAGGTAAGCAAATTAAAACATGCTGTTTGCAAAACTCCAGGATAAGAAATAGCTGTCTCCACTAAACTAATACTAGAAAGCACCAGCATTCCATTTCCCCTACGTAAGAATAATTACTTTTAGGAAAGTGTGATGTCTGAACTGAGTGACCATTTATATAGTTGGTCTCATCTATCAATACATTAATTCTTAATACTGTGTATAATTCTTAACACTGATAATAAATGATACCATAGTACGTCCTTCTGCCAAGATACAGTAATTTGGCTGTTGTGTCGTTTTGTGGTTTTTTTTTTTGTTAAAAAAAAAAAGAATTCTGCAGAAAGAACCACCAACAAAAAATTTGCACTTTCAATTTTCCAAGGGTGGGAGGGAATGGGGTTAAAACCTATCAAAATAAAATTCTCAGTATTAGCATGGAACACATCACAGTTCTTTCTTTCAAAAAACTAGTGAAATATAATTGTTAAAACAGCACAAAAACTCTTTACTTGTCCCTATACAGCTGAGTAGATTTACATATCATGTTATTTAAAAATAACAATGATTTAGTTTTAACAAAAAAACCCAAAACCATGCACTAGCAGGTTTTAATCATCAAAAATAATGGAAGATACTAAGCTACCAATAATGGTTACTTCTCAAAATGAGATTAAGGGGAACCTTCACTTAGTAATTTTTATACTGTTTGTTATAAGCACTTATACTGCTCTAATATGGAATAAAACCAAAACCAATCACCAAATAAACAAAAGCATAATGCAAATGGTTAATTTTACACTGGTAAAAGTACTTGACTGGACCTAGTTTTTCAGAAAGCAAGCTAAAAATAAAAAAGATCAATTTTTTTCACTTGTTGGTAGGATTTCTTGACAGTATGAAAGGATAAAAATTATAGCAGCATCAATAAACTGGTTAACACCCCTCCCACTCCAATCCCACCCGAGATTAGGATCTTTCTTCAGGTGCCACTAACTGGAGAATCATCTATCTCAGTTTCTGGGATGTAGCTTTTCTAACAAAACGGTCTATTCTTTCACCTTAAAAAAACAAAACAAAACAAAAAAACAAAAACAAAAACCACAAACAAACCCAAAACCACAAATGAAAACACTAGATTGAATGCTTTTCATTACACAAATAGTAAATGATTCCTTATCAGTAGTAGTTAGCTCTTTAAAGGACATAATCTACCATTATTTTTGAGTTCTCATTTTCTTGCCAAGGGAAAATTAAAACAAATAAATGGCATTCTTTTTAAGACAAAACTTTCAAGTTAAAAAAAAAAAAAAAAAAAAAGACCAATCTCACCGTCTTACTGGAGATCTACTCCTCCGGTGCCTTGGTGGTGGAGGCATTCGTCTTGGTGGAGTTCTTCTTCGAGGAGATGGTCGTCGTCTTGGGCTAGGCCGTCTTCTAGGTGAATATGATCTACCACAACAGGAGGATTCGAATCAATCAGGAGGAACGAATCCATTTCTTTACATAAAGGCCACACATCAAGGTATCAAGGAACATGATATGGATAGACTTTTACGAAACACAAGGAAAAAAAGCATCTTCAAATTCTCTATATAAATAAAAATTAAAAATACTATATTACTAAACATTTCCTGGATTCCCTAGGTGGCACTTTAGGATTAAGAACTGGATTTAAAAATGACCTATAGGGCTGGTAGTGCAAGCCATCTACCCAGAACTCAGAACTGGAGCCTAGCAATTTGCTTCTGAAAAGTCAGTATGAAAATCCTATAGTGTGGCACTACTCAGGTGTGCACACCTGAGGTTATCATGACTTGGAAATGACTCAATGTCCACTAACCACAACAATGACAAAATGCTTCTTACTGGTTTTAAACTATTCCCAGATTGTACCTAAGACTAGTACATTAAAAAAAGGTCTAAGACTGCCAGGTTAAGACAGCTGACCAGATAGATGGTAGTTCAAATCTTCTTCACAAAGACATCAGAAAATCATGGTAACAGATAACGGATGATAATCCTGTAACCTCGAGTTTAAAACTTTCTCCTGCAGAGCAGCTGGTGGACTCAAACTGTCTGCTTTTGGGTTGACAGCACAACTCCTTACCCATTAAGCTACCAAAAGCGCTCAATTTTTGGTCCCTCTCTAAGAGGTGGCTGACTGTGCAATGTCAGGGTTGCAGACATCTCCTGGATCAGCAGGAATACCACTTCTGACTAGGGTTCTTGCCTTTTACTGAGCACCCCTGCCTGACACATCCAATGGCCATACTTGGGAATTTCAGGTCAATAGTAATTATCTTTTCATATGAGGCATCTTTGTCTGGGTACCTTGCAAACACCCACCCCCTGGCCAGAAAGACAATCTAAGGGTCCTCTCTTTGGGACTAGGCTTCAACCTGCTGTTCGGCTAGCAAACATAGTGTCACCACCCACCACATAGTAACAAGAGAACTAATCAGGTACTCAGTCCTCTCCTCTCCAGATGGCCCTTTTTCACTTTCCATGGCTGTGTTAGCTTTCTATTTTGCTCCTCCTGCCCATTCCATTATCATCTTTCTATTCTCCCCCTTTTCTTATTCTTTCCCCAGATTCTCCTTCATTTTAACCTCTTGTTTCCTTTTTTAAGTGTTCAATCTTATTTGAGTTTTTGAGGTGTTTTCTTTGCTTTTTTTGTTCCCTTTTCCCACTGTCCTATCTGACACAAGACAGCAATAATACCCACTCACACATTCATCTCCTGCATCTTCACTCATGAAATAAGACTAAAGAACAGCTCCTGCTCTACCTGGAACAAATACCAGCATCCTCTATCACATCCACCAAGAGCAGAGGTGAAACCACACTAGCAAGTGGCACAACTTATTCTCTCTTACACACACCACCCCCCCAGTCAGATTTACCAAAAGATTATTACCACCACAAAGATATAGCGGAGGCAGGAAAGAACTTTCAGGAAAATCTAGGCTGAACTCACCTTGATCGGGATCTATGACGTCTTCTAGGTCGAGTGTGAGAAGGAGAGCGAGAACGTGTCCGGGATCTTGACTTGGAACGAGACCGAGATCGTTGTCGAGTCTTCTCCTTTTCCTTCTTAGAATTTTTTTCTGGAGAAGGTTCTTTAGGCTCTGATATAGGTTCAGGCTTGGGGACTTTCAGGATGTCACTATGGAAATACAAGGGATCATCATGAGTCAGAATTAACTGGACAGCAACTAACAACTATGAACACAAAAGAGCCTTTCATCCAGTCTATTCAGATTCCTAATACAGTAATGTACTAAAGTATTCTTAAGGTCTTCAAAATTCATGAAGACTTTCTCTTAGCCCCAAAACATGTATACACTGTGTAATAGGTTGAGTAACAATTTTAGCCATGTTTAAAAAGTACAAAAGTTCTCCATAACTGGGAAATAAGTAAGTTATACACACAAAAACACAAATACACGGGGGGCGTTCTGGTGGCCTAGTGGCAAGGAGCTGCAACTACAATCCCAGAGGCGCACAGTTCGAATCCACCAGACGCTCTGCCAGGGAAGGAGGGACAATCTCCTCCTGTACCAGTCAGATCTGATTTGACGGTACACACACGTGTGTGTACACACACACACACACACACACACACACACACACACACACACACACACACACCCCAACCAAAACCAAAACCAAACCAAACACAAATACACACAGAGCCAGAGAGCACTGGTCACCTATTAAGCATTCTACTTATACTAGTCTATATAATGTAAAATTTTTTCAACAAAAAAATCTACTAGAAGCAGCAAGTAATTAAAGATTTTAACTTGCCACTTGCTGTTAAGTGCTGGTGAGTTGGCTGCAACTCATAGTAACCCTCTGTGCAACAGAATGAAAACAGTCTAATCCTGTTTTCAAATCAACAGTTACATAATGTACTTGCCTCGTAGAAGTGGCCTCTTGTACTGAAGGTTCTTTTACTTTCACTGAAGGTTCTGGGAGTTCTGGCGTTTTCTCCTTCTTTTCTGGAGCAGGGGAAGGACTCCGGCTCTTAGTTCTGTGACGGGGTGATCGAGAATGACTGCGCTTTCTCTCTCTTCTAACAGGAGATGATCGTCTTCTAGGAGACGGAGATCTGGATTTTCGTCTAGAATAAAAGCAGACTTTTTTCAGATTTTTAGTAATACAAATGGAAGAGGCCAAAGTGAGATGTGAGGATTAAATCTGAGAATTCCCCTATGGAAATATGATGGCAAGGCTGTAGAGAGACTAGAACCCTTATTCACTGCTGGTGGAAAAGTAAAATGGTACAACCATTATGGAAGGTGGTCTAACACTTTCTCAAAAAGTTGGAAATAATTAATATTAAAAAAAAAAAAAAAAGTTGGGAATAGAAATACCATTTGACCCAACAGTTCAACTACTGGAAATATACCCTAAAGAAATCAGAGCCACGACTCAAAACAGATGTATGCATTCCTCTGTTTACTGCTGTGTTATTCACAATAGTAAAGAAATGGAAGCAAACCAAGTGTTTATCAGCAAATGAATGGACAGAAAAATTATGGTACATTCATCATACAACAGAATTACTATGTAGCACTGAAAACAATAAACTAGGAAAGTATTGCATAACATGGGTGACTCTGGAGGACATATGCTGAGTAAAATATCTCAGTCACATAAAGATACATACTTCATAATATTGCATAACAAACACTGCATCATAAAAAATGAGGGGGAAAACTGTCAGAAAGTTAATATATGATTAGGCATTATATATGTATGACAACAATCCAGAACAATGGGTTTATTGTGGGGTGGACTGGGGGAGGAGAAAGAGGTACAACAATCAAAAAAGATAAAAAAACCGAAAAAAACAAACAAACAAAAAAACAAAAAAAAAAACCCCACAAAAACAAAACACCCCAAAAACAACAAACCCCAAACTGAGTAAAAAAAAAAGAACTAGGAATGCTTTCTAAAAATAACTAAAACCCTCTCAGAAAAAACAAAGCCCTTGTTCATTATGTTTAGAAGATGATACTTGCATATGACAGTTTTCCTGGAAAAGAGAAAATCCACTATTGTTTTTCATAACTTGAAGGAATTTTTAAATTTTATTTAAAGTGAAAGGAAATATACTAAATTGGGTCCATCAACAATGAAGTAGTATGTTACTAACATAGTGACTTGTACTTAACTTCAGAATATGTTCCCTAAAAAGTAGTTTTCAATGTAAAGTATAAACAGAAGAAAGTTTTTTCTTTTCTGAATTTCAGGATACTTATGAAGATTAAGTAGTACCCTAAAAATGAAAAGTCTAATGGAATGCTCACTTTTTATAACACGTAAGTAGAAGCTGAGTTGTGGAATTAAAAGTGTAAAACAGTCTCATTGGTTAGAAAAAAACAATCTAAAGTTTGAGCTCAGAACCACGTGACAATAGCAGAACAGGGAAATTTGACAGGGATAATATGAACATCTAACGGATAGAAATTTCTAGTAAGGAAAGGAAGAACTGGGAGTACATTCCAAAATTACTCAAATGTTGTATTTAAAAACTATGAACTTAAGAGAAATGACCTTTAAGTGTTTAGGTTCTTTTGCTCACAGGGTCGCTATGAGTTATCTACAACTTGAAGGCATTAGCATTAACATTGACAACAACAACGTATTTAAACTAAAGAAATAAAGAAAAAAAAACCCTGGTATTTTGATTTATCTCACCACAACAGAAACTTTTATATTCAAAGGATCTCTCTGAAACAAGAGGAAATACTGCTCTAGCACAGAGGCATGACAAAAATTTTATAATAGGAGTAACATTGATGCTGGCTTTCCCTTTTACTGGTGAGTTTCTATATATGGAATTTCTTGATGACCTGAAGTACCACAAAGCATCAGGCATGCTTCTCTTGTATGGTACCTTCTTGGGCTCCGAGATCTCTCTCTTTTTTCTCGGCTGCTTTCCTTCTCTTCCTTATCCCTTTTATCTTTGTCTTCGTCTTGCTTCTTCATTGA